CCCAGCTCCCTGCCTTGCGCCTGGCCGAGGCAGTGGGTGAGGACTTGAGTGCCTGAGCCCAGGGTGGAGCTCCTGGCTCCTGGGCTTTGGTCTGGCTCAGCCCTGGCTGCTGGGGCCATCTGGGGAGTGACCCAGTGGATGAAGACCTCTCACTTTCTGTGTCACTCTGCCTTTCTGTATTCATTTACATGAAAGACAGAGTGACAGAGAGAGAGGGGGAGAGACAGAGGAAGCTCTTCCACCTGCTGGTTCACTCCCTAGATGGCCACAACAGCTGGGGCCAGGCTGAAGCCAGGCGCTCCATCCGGGTCTCCCACGCGGGTGCAGGGGCCCAAGCACTTGGGCCATCCTCCACTGCTTTCCCAGGCCACAGCAGAGGGCTGGGTCAGAAGTGGAGCAGCTGCGACTCGAACCAGTGCCCATATAGGATGCCGGCACTGCAGGTGGCAGCTTTACAAATAAACCTTTAAAAGATTAAACTGACAGCCACGCCTTACCCTGCCACACATGCACACCCGTGCCCGTTCCCCCTGCTGCAGGTACCCTGGCTGGCTCACGGCACTAACAGTCTTTGGTGCACACAGGGGAGCGTCCCAGGGGGAGCACCTGCCCCTCTCTTTCCTGGGACCCCATTCTGGTGTCCTGGAAAAGCCTGAGATTGAATCCCAGCTCCAGCACAAGCAAGCTGTGCGACACCCGGCTGACAGTGCCACTTCCCGCGGCGGGCAGGAAGGCTGGGTGGCCTCGCCTGCCCTCCTGGGCGGAGGGGGTGGCCACAGCTGCCTCATGCAAGTGCACGTGGTGGCAAGGTCGGGGAAGGGCAGAAAGAGGCGGGGCTCAGAACAACGTGGAGTGTAGCCTGCTGGGAAGAGCTGGTGGACACAGTTCTCAGCAGCAGGCACAGCACAAGCAAAGGCCCTGGGGTGGGCAGGGCAGAACAGACTGGGAGGAAGGTGGGCAGGATCAGTTCCTGCAGGCCTCGGCTGGCCACACCAAGGGCGGGTGCCCTGGCTCCTCTCCACCCCCGCGGACGGGGACTGGGACCCCAGAGGCTGGCCCACCTCGCAGAAAGAAGGTGTCGTGCTGGTCGCGGGCCGGGTGCTGCTGGGGCTGGAAGAGGGCGTCGAAGTTCCAGAAGGAGCTCTCGATGAAGTTGTCGGTGGGCATCTCGGTGAACCTGGGTGGGGAGGGGGTGCAGCCTTACTGCCCTGCCTGCCCCTCCCCGCGGCCATGCTGGCCCCGCCCCTGGCCCCGCCCCCACCCCGTGCTCACCCCATCTCCAGGAAGATCTGGCGGAACTGGGAGCGGACCTTGAGCAAGGGGTGTAGGTGGCCGCTGTCCGGCAGGATGCCGCGGGCCAGGAAGTTGTAGGGCTTGAAGGGCAGGTCCCGCCAAGAGCCACTGCGGAGGGAGGCGGGGTTCATGGGCTGGGCGGGGCCTGGGGAGGGTTGCCCGCCCCGCCCCTCACCTGCCTCAGCCCCGCCCCCTCGACCCTGCCCCTCACCTGCCTAGGTCCCGCCCCTAATCAGCCTCAGCCCTGCCCCTCACCTGCCTTGGCCCCGCCCACTGCCGGCCTCAGCCCCGCCCCGGCCCCGCCCCTCACCTGGCGATCATCTCCGGGCTCAGCTCCGTCTCCTGCTTGGAGACGCTGGTGCTAAAGGCGCTGCCTTTGCTCACCCAGTAGGTCTTCAGGGTCCTGTGGCCAGAGGCAGGGAGGGGACGGCGCTGTCACCTCCTCGGGAGGCCTTTCTCTCGGGCGCCACCCACTCAGGTCAATGCCCTCCCGAGAGCCTGTATTCTCCCTCTCACACAGTCGGTCAACACACACTTGCTAAGCAGTGGGTGCTGGGGCACAGCATTGGCTGCAGTCCCGGCTACCCTGCGTCCAGCCAGCTCGGGGCAGGTGCATTCGGAGAGGAGGCAGGGATGGTCCGTGGACTTGGATCCCTGCCACCCACGCGGGAAGGCCCGGGTGCATGGCGTTCCTGGCTCCTGGCTTTGACCTAGCCTAACCCCAACTGTTGAGGGCATCTGGGAAGTAAACCAGCAGATGTTAGATCTTTCTCTCTCCTTGTCGTTCTGCCTTTCAAACACATAAACATTTTAAAAAACAGCCAGGGCCGGCCGGCGCCGCGGCTCACTAGGCTAATCCTCCGCCTAGTGGCGCCGGCACACCAGGTTCTAGTCCCGGTCGGGGCGCCGGATTCTGTCCCAGTGGCCCCTCTTCCAGGCCAGCTCTCTGCTGTGGCCAGGGAGTGCAGTGGAGGATGGCCCAGGTGCTTGGGCCCTGCACCCCATGGGAGACCAGGAAAAGCACCTGGCTCCTGGCTCCTGCCATCGGATCAGCGCGGTGCGCCGGCCGCAGCGGCCATTGGAGGGTGAACCAACGGCAAAAGGAAGACCTTTCTCTCTGTTTCTCTCTCTCACTGTCCACTCTGCCTGTCAAAAAAAAAAAAAAAAAAAAAAAAAAGAGAGAAAAACAGCCAGGGCCAGCATTGTGGCTTAACGCGTTGAGCTACCGCCTGCAGCGCCGGCATCCCAGGTGGGCGCCGGTTCGAGTCCTGGCTGCTCCTCTTCCCATCCAGCTCTCTGCTATGGCCTGGGAAAGCAGTGGAAGATGGCCCAGGTACTTGGGCCCTGCACCCGTGTGGGAGAGCCGGAAGAAGCTCCTGGCTCCTGGCTTTGGCCTGGCCCAGCCCCCATCTCTGTCTCCCATGTGGGTGGCAGGGGCCCGAGATCAGCCATTGGCACCACCTGCTGGGGTCTGCATTAGCAGGAGGGTGGAATGGGAGCAGAGCCAGGCATGGAACCCAGCGCCGTGCTGTGCGGTGGGGGCACCCGAACCACTAGGCCAAACCTCCCCTATTCGGCACTCTGCCCTAGGGGCTGTTTTATAGACAAGGAAAATGTCTCTGTCTGTCTGTTGCAAGGGGACTTCAGCCTGTGACGGCGGAGCCCCCAGCTTGCTCCAGCCCAAAGGAGCATGCGCGGGGCTTTCGCTGAACTTGGGACTGTGAAAGGGTCCCTCAAGGCACAAGGAGGGTGGAGATGAGGAATGAGGGGCTTCTGTGGATCTCAAGGTGGAGGGGGCGTCAGGGTGCCCATCCCAGGTGTCCCGCGAGCAGAGGCCGGACGCTGGAAACTGCCTTACAGATCGATGGGAGGTTGCGTCTGCAATGGCAGCATGTGCAAAGGCCCTGGGGTCACGGGTGCATAGCACCATGTGCTTCTCAGCTGGGAGGACGGGCGGCCCCCCGCAGCCCCCGTGGCCCCGCTCACACTTCCGTCAGCAGCTTCCTCTTCCTGAGCTCACTCCGCTCCTTCTCGCCCAGCTTCTCCGCCTGCCCCCGCTGCACCAGCTGCAGTCGCCGCTGCACCTCGTCCTCCACGCTGTCCACCTGCCACGCACACGGGAGGAAAGGCATGAGGGGCCGCAGGAGGCGGTGAGGGGCGCCCGTGGGCCCCGTCCGCCTGCAGGGGACAAGAACTCACCACTCGGAACACGCGGGGCCCGTCCGCTGCGCTCTTGTCCACGCGGATCCACTTGTTGGACATGGCCTTGCTAAAGCCCACCTTGCCACTGGGCAGCCGCTGCGGGAGGGAAGGCTGTGGGCGGGGCGCCAGAGGCACCTCCACCCCGTCACCTCCCGCCCCCCCACCCCACCCCAGCCTCCTGGGGAGGGGGGCCCTACCATGAGCTCGCTCTGGGCCAGCCCCTCGGAGGGGACACTGCGGAACACCCGGGCCTCATGGCTGCCCTCCCGGGCAATCTCCTCGCCCTCAGCTGTCAGCTCCCAGCGCTTGGTAGAGCGAAGGGCGGCCTCGATGACCTGCAGGGGGTGCGGGCAAGGGCGGGGATTAGGTTTGGATCCCAGCTATTCGGCCAAAAGGCAGCATCACAGAGGAAGAGAGAGACAAAGAGGTCTTCCACGCACTAGTCCACTCCCCAGATGGCTGCAACGGCCAGGGCTGGGCCAAGCTGAAGAGCCAGGAGCCAGGAGCTCCATCTGGTCTCCCATACGGGCAACAGGGACCCAAGCACTTGGGCCATCACCTGCTGCCTCCTGGATGCACTAGCCGGGGGCCGGATTGGAAGCGGCGCAGCCACAGATGGAGGAATTGCCAGCTGCCTGCTTAAGCCACTGGGTCCCACTGGCTTCCTGGTGACAGACTGTAAGCTCCCAGATTTCTGTCCCGGTTTCTGGGTCTACCTCTCACTGCTGGGAAGTGTCAGGAGGACCTGGAAGTCGGCATTTCCAACCAGAGAGCCAAGGTTCAAGATCATGCACACAGGGGTGAGGCTGGGGGGGAGGGGGGACACGGCTCTGTCACCTCAGCAGACTTGCTTCACCTCTCTGAAAAATTTTCTCCTCCAGAAGAAGAGGAGGTGATGGGCTTTACCACAGAGAAGTAGATCTTTGTGGGTAATTACTCGAGAGGCAGAGAGAGAGAGAGAGAGAGAGAGAGAGGTCTTCCACCCATTGGTTCACTCCCCAAATGGCCACAATGGCCAGAGCTGGGCTGATCCGCAGCCAGGAGCCAGGAGCTTCCTCCGGGTCTCCCACGCGGGTGCAGGGGCCCAAGGACTGGGGCCATCTTCTTCTTTCCCAGGCCATAGCAGAGAGCTGGATTGGAAGTGGAGCAGTGGGGACTCAAAACGGCGCCCATACTGGGTGCTGGTGCCACAGGCAGGGGCTTAGCCTACAACACCCGGCGCCAGACCCCTATTGCTACCATTACGGTCATTAGGTAGGACCATGTTAAATTGTCACCCTACAGGCCAGTGCTGTGACGAAGCAGGTTAATGCTCCACCTGCGGTGCCGGCAATCCATATGGGCGCCTGTTTGAGTCCCGGCTGCTCCACTTCCGATCCAGCTCTCTCTCTGCTATGGCCTGGGAAAGCAGTGGAAGATGGCCCAAGTCCTCGGGCCCCTGTACCCACATGGAAAACCCAGTGGAAGCTCCTGGCTTCAGATCAGCGCAGCTCCGGCTGTTGCGGCCATCTGGGGAGTGAACTAGTGGATGTAAGACTCTCTCTAATTCTGCCTCTCAAATAAATACATAAAATCTTTAAAAAATAAAAAAGTCACCCTCTGTGACCAACACAAAGGCATCGTTCAAGGCGCTGTGGCCCCCATGCGCTATTACTCCGGTCTTTTTCCCTGAAGGCTCTGCAGGCTGAATGCCTAGTTTCAGATCTAAGTCCTTTTTAGTGACAACGCTCAAATTGTTGATCCAGGAGCAGGTGTTGTGGCACGGCAGGTGGAGCCTGCAGCTAGAGATGCCGGCATCCGGTATGGGAGTGCCAGTTCAAGCCCCGGCTGCTCCACTTCCGATCCAGCTCCCTGTCAATGTGCCTGGGAAAACAGCAGAAGATGGCCCAAGTGCTTGGGCCCCTGCACCCACGTGGGAGACCCAGAAGAAGCTCCTGGCTTTGGCCTGGCCCAGCCCCAGCTGTTATGGCCATTTGGGGAGCAAACCAGCGGATGTAAGATCTCTCGTTTGCTCTTTGTCACTCTGCCTTTCAAATAAATACATAAATCTTTTAAAAATAAATAAATAAAATAAAACTACCGACCTACACTAAGCATCGGCTGTCACATCTACGAAGTGGGGATAATGGCCATGCCATCGTCCTACAACTATAGCGAGAACTAGACGAGCGAGCACAGAACACGCGCGCTCCGTGAACAGACAGCCGCGATCCTGGCCTCGCGGATCGGGCCCCCTGGGACACCGCACCTGCACCTGCTCATCCCCCCCAACTCCAATTGCCTCACCACAGCCAGACACCAGGCCCCCTAGCGTGGGGGCTGTGCGACCTCTGACGTCACCCCCTGGTCTCCAGGCCCGCCCCTTATCAGACGGGCTCCCCACCTGCCATAGCTCCCCAGTACCCCTGCCACAGCTTGTCATTCTGGCTGTGGGGTCTCTCCCCCGCGTCGTCCCCTCCAAGTCCCTGCTATGGGTCCCTCAAGTGCCCAGGCCTCAAAGATGGCCCGACCCGATTCGGCTGTCACTTCCCGGACCCCCAAGGTTGGGTCAGCTGTCACCGCTAGGGTTCCCTGCTCACTCTGGTCCCTTTCAGCATCCCGACCCCAGACCACAACCTCCACCAGGGCAACGAGCGCTTTGTCCTCATCCGCCACGGCCCGGGTCCCCCGCCTCCACGCTACGCAGAGCGTGCGCCTCACATTGCAAATGGGACATCCGTGCGTCCGGGCCTCTCCCGGGGGTAGGCACAAACACAATGCACCCTACCCAGGGCTGAGGGGGCGTTCGGCCTGGAGGCAGGGCCTTCCTGGGACTTGCAAGGTGCAAAAAGCCAAGAGGCGGCCCCGCATCGCGCGCCCGGCTCACCTCGCCCAACGCCTGCAGGCTCTTCACGGCGCCCACGACCGCCTGGTGCTCCACGCCCAGCTGAGCTGCCAGCTCCGCGCTGTCCAGGCCGCCATCGGCGTTCTCCAGCCGCCTCAGCAGCTGCTCCGCTACAGGACCGTCCGCCATGGCGGCTCCCAGCACGCTCGGCGTGTTCCAGCCTCGACCTGGGGGTGGGGCTTAAGAAACCGGAATCGGAAACGGCGCCCGGAGCGTGTCGGCGCCATCATGAGTGTGTCGCGGGGCACTGTGCGGGGGCTGGAAGCGCCGCCATCGTGAGTGTGGCGACGCGGCCGCCAAAGGGTGCAAAGGATTCAAGTCTCCACCTCCGCCCTGGCTGGACCCGCGGCGTCTGGTTGACCAGAGAGGTAAAATGGACAACCCCAAAGTTAGAAACACAGTTGCGCGTTCAGTTTCATGCAACCCCACTTCTAGCGGGCTATGTGACCTTGGACTTCACCCTCTATGGGCCCCCCCTCCCAACCTGATGCCCTTTGGGCATTCTGCCTTGTCCTGGGGGGGGGGGGGGAGGGCGGTTGCACGGTGGGCTGCAGAGATTGTCATTCTGCTAATGGCAGCTGTCTTCTCAAAGCGAGGCCGGGTGGGGACTAGACTCATTTATAGAAAGGCGAGAGACAGCTAAGGCACCTGTGGTACCAGCGACCGGTCAGGTGCAGAGCTAAGCGCTTCGGATCTGTTATGTCATTTCTCCCCAGAGCTTTATGATGTAGGAGGGCACTGCAGAAAAGCACAGCAGTGAAGCCGCATGGCGACAGTCGCGGCCCATATCCCCATATCGGAGTGTCTGGGAGTGAATTCCACCTCCGCTTCCGATCCGGCTTCCTGCTAGGGTGCCTGGGAGACAGCCATTGATGACTCAAATACTTGGGTCCTGCCACCCGCATGGGAGACCCGGATGGAGCTCCCGGGCACGGGTCAGGGCCTTGGGGACCTGGTGCACCCGCATGGGAGACCCGGATGGAGCTCCCGGGCACGGGTCAGGGCCTTGGGGACCTGGTGCACCCGCATGGGAGACCCGGATGGAGCTCCAGGGCACGGGTCAGGGCCTTGGGGACCTGGTGCACCCGCATGGGAGACCCGGATGGAGCTCCCGGGCACGGGTCAGGGCCTTGGGGACCTGGTGCACCCGCATGGGAGACCCGGATGGAGCTCCCGGGCACAGGTCAGGGCCTTGGGGACCTGGTGCACCTGCATGGGAGGCCCGGATGGATTTGAGATATCTTCTGCTGCTTTTCCAGGCCACAGCAGATAGCTGGATCGGAAGTGGAGCAGCTGAGACTCGAACCTGTGCCCATATGGTATGCCGGCACTAAAGTGGTGGCTTTACCCGCTATGTCACAGTGCCGGCCCCTGGTTCACTCCTCAAATGCCCACACCACCGGGGCTGGGTCAGACATAGGCCAGGAGCCAAGACTGCCATCCGGGTCTCCCAAGCTCTTGAACCATCGCCCACTGCCTCCCAGATGCACTAACAGGCCGTTGGATCAGAGAGGCAGAGGTGGGGGTCCTAGGCACCCACTGGCTCACTCCCCAAATGGCCACAATGGCCGGAGCTGGGCCGAGCCAAAGCCAGGAGCCAGGAGCTTCTTGGGCCATCTTCTGCTGCTTTCCTAGACCATCAGCAGAGAGCTGGATGGGAAGTGGAGCAGCCGGGACTCAAACTGACGCCCATATGGGATGCCGCAGTTTTACTGACTACACCACAGTGCCGACCCCCCTCCCACCTTTTAAGGATTTGAGGGGGCCGGCACTGTGGCACAGTAGGTTAATCCTCCGCCTGCGGTGCCGGCATCCCATATGGGTGCCGGTTCGAATCCCGGCTGCTCCACTTCCCATCCAGCTCTCTGCTATGGCCTGGGGAAGCAGTGGAAGATGGCCCAAGTCCTTGGGCCTCTACACCCATGTGAAAGACCCAGTGGAAGTTCCCAGCTCCAGGCTTCAGATTGGCCCAGCTCTGGCCGTTGAGGCCATTTGGGGAGTAAACCAATGGATGGAAGACCTCTCTCTCTCTCTCTTCCTTCTCAATGTCTGTAACTCTACCTCTCTAAGAAATAAATAAAGTCTTTAAAAAAAAAAAGATTTATTTTAAGGAGCAGTAGAGAGATAGAGGGAAAGACAGAGAAAGAGAGAGATCTTCTGTCTGCTGGTTCACTCCCCAAAATGGCCACAACAGCCCAGGGCTTGGCCACTGCTAAGGCAGGAACCTGGAGCCCCATCTGGGTCTCCTATGCGGGTGGCCAGGGCCCAAGTACTCGAGCCAACTTCTGCTGCCTTCCCAGGGGCCGTTGTGGGAAGCTGTGGCCCTGATGTCATATGGCAGCTTTGCAGGCAGCGGCTGAAGCCCTGCGCCACAACGCTGGGCCCGAGTTGCTTCCTCTTTCTGTGCCTTTAGTGTCTTTTCCCCAGTGGAGATGACATGAATTAAGTGACATGATGTCCACACATGTCCTTGCTGATAGGGAGTTTAAGACACACACACACACACACACACACGCGTTTATTCGAGAGACAGAGAGCAAAGGGGCGGGGCCTGAAGCCAGGAGCCTGGAACTCAATCCAGGTCTCCCATGGGCAGTGTGGCAGGGACCTAAGTACTTGAGCCATCACAGCCACCTCCGAGGGTGGGCATTAGCAGGGAACTGATATTAGAAGCCAGAGCCTAGGCACTCTCTTATGGAACTTCGGCATTTAGAGCTGGGCCAATCCGAAGCCAGCAGCCAGGAGCTTCTTCCAGGTCTCCCTCGCAGGTGCAGGGGCCCAAGGACTTGGGCCATCTTCTACTGCTTTCCCAGGGGTATTAGCAGGGAGCTGGGTCAGAAGAGGAAGCAGCCAGGCGCCCATATGGGATGCCTTTGCCACAGGGGGAGGCTTAGATTTCTGTGCCAGAGCGCCAGCCCCCTAGCAAGTAGCTTTTAAGTTGGGAGGAAACAAGATGGGTAGTCCCCACCCTCCAGCAGGAAGTTCCAAACCCACGTGTCTTGGGCAGGTCAGTAGTGGGCCTGGGAGTCAACTTGGACTTGGCCATCTTCCGGGGGGGGGGGGGGGCAGCAGGTGGGATGCTATTGTTTGGGAGAAAGAGTAGAGCCCCCAGGTCCCCCCCCCCACTTGTCTTTCTTCCTCTTTCTGGGTCTCCCCCACGGGCAGGGAAGGGAGAGGTAGGGAAAGGCATTGTCGGTCCCCCATGCCCCTGGAGACCCAGGAGCCCGGCCCACGCCCCCAGAACCGTATCTTCCCTACCGTCTGTGTCTTCCCCCCCCCTTCCCAAAGGGAACCCCCTACCCCTACCCTCTCGCCTATGGCCGTTTAATTGCAAAAGCGAGGCTGTTTGTGGCAGACCACAAGAAGGGAGGACCCGCTTGATTTTTTTTCTTATTTATTTACAAGTCACAATTACAGACCGGGGTAGGGGGGCATGTTCCATCTGCTGGTTGGAGCCGGGCACTTCCTCCAGGTCACCCACGTGCCCACGCCATCTTCCACTGCTTTTCCAAGCACATTAGCAAGGAGCTGGATCGGAAGTGGAGCAGCCGGGACTCGAACCGGCGCCCATGGAGGGTGCGGGCGCTGCAGACCCCGGCTTACAAGCCCCTTTCCACGACCGGCAGAGCATGACTGCCATTAGGGGAGCCACAGCCTCCAGCCTCCTCTTTGACCCCTCTTGCAGTTCCGCCCCCTCTGCGCGTGCACAGCCGTAAAAAAGAAAAAAAAAATCTTTAAAAAAACAAACTTGACAGAGGTTTCCTACCAGATAGCATCTGCACCAGGTCGCCACCCCTGGCTTTTGTGCACCACCGAGAGTTCAGAAACGAAGCGACTTGCCCCGGGCCACCCAGCAGCTGGCTGACAGGTGCCAGGGGCACCGGGGTGCAGCCCCCGCGGAAGGGGGGCCCCAAGCTGGGCGGGAGAAACAGTTCACGTCTGAACGCAGGTCCCCCACATGCAGGGCAGGCAGCGGGACGGAAGAGCCTTGCCCAGGCCGCCACGCGTCGGGATAGGGGTAGGGTCCCGGCGCCCGGACACCTGCGCCCGCGCGCGGTCTCCAAAGCGCCCCGTGGGGAGCCCGAAGCGCGCGCGAGCCGCCGAGGGCGGGGTCCGGCTGGGGTGCAGTCACGTGACCTGCCCGGAGCGGGGGCTCGCGGCCCCCACCCCTCCAGTAGGCGTCCCCCACAACGCGTGGTCGACCGTCATTGGCCGGTTATGCGGCCAATAGAAATCGGCCATCTGGGAACCCAGCGTTCCGAGGCACAACCTGACGTGCTGGGCCGACCGTCACCCAATGGGTAGGGAGAGCGGTGGCTGCAGACCAATGATAAGGTGGACGGGGCGGGCCTAGAGGCCGGGTCAGGTTGGTGTGAGGGGGCGGGCGGGTATAAAAGCCCTCAGCCGGCGGCGGCGTCCGTCCGTACTGCAGAGCCGCTGCCGGAGGATCGTTTTAAAGGGCCCGCGAGCCGCCGCCCCCTCGGCCCGCCATGCTGCTCCCTGTGCCGCTGCTGCTCGGCCTGCTCGGCCTGGCCGCCGCCGAGCCCGTCGTCTACTTCAAGGAGCAGTTTCTGGACGGAGGTAACGCCGGGGCCCTGGCTCGCCCGGGTCCCCCATAGCCCGGGCCCGCGGTGCGCGCGGCCCTGTAATTACCGCTCCGAGAGGACCAACACGGCGCGGCCCCGGGGGACTCGGAGCCGCGGGCGATCCGCCTCTCGCCTCCCCGGGGGAGTGTGGGGGACGCAGTTGCCGCTCCTGGCGGGAGTTGGGGTTCGCCCAGAGGTTGCCTCGAGACACCCCGGGGGGAGATCGCCGCTCCTGCCTAACTCCCCCCCCACCGCACACACCTTGCAGCTCCTGGCAGGTGTTTGGATGGATGGGCGCTGGGGATGTGGGGGGAGAGAGGGTGGTCGGCCTGCCCTGCCCCTGTGACGCCCCCCCACCTCCTCTCAGATGGGTGGACCGAGCGCTGGATCGAATCCAAACACAAGTCCGATTTTGGCAAATTCGTCCTCAGTTCGGGCAAGTTCTACGGCGATCAGGAGAAAGATAAAGGTGAGGTGCCCGGGAGTCGCGTGGGGCTCGGCTTGTTGGAAGGAGCAGTGGTTAGCGCCTCTCCCGCAGGACCAGGGCAGGTGCAGGGGGTGTGTTAGGGAGGGTCCTTGGGATCTGACTCTGACCCTGACCCCGACCCCGACCCCGCCCGCTCCCGTGCCCTCCCAGGGCTGCAGACCAGCCAGGACGCCCGCTTCTACGCCCTGTCGGCCCGATTCGAGCCGTTCAGCAACAAGGGCCAGCCACTGGTGGTGCAGTTCACCGTGAAACACGAGCAGAACATTGACTGCGGGGGCGGCTACGTGAAGCTGTTTCCGGCCGGCCTGGACCAGAAGGACATGCACGGGGACTCTGAGTACAACATCATGTTTGGTGAGGGGCGGAGACGCACCCCTGAGCCGGCCAGCCCCGCGGGGCTCCCCGAGAGCCTGCAGACGGCCCTGGGGTTGGGGGGGACACCTAAGGGACTGGGTTGCAGCCAGCGGAGGTCCTGGTGCTCACATCCGGGGACTTCCTCATTGAGTTCTGGAGCCGATTGTGTTTGAGGGCGAGATGTCTTCCCTTTTGGAAAGAGAGAGGGTGGGGGCACTGAGCCCACTCCCTGTCCCCTCCCCCACCCCAGGTCCTGACATCTGTGGCCCCGGCACCAAGAAGGTTCACGTCATCTTCAACTACAAGGGCAAGAACGTGCTGATCAACAAGGACATCCGTTGCAAGGTGCTTGCCCCCCGCCGTGGGTGTGGCCAGAGGGGTGGCCCGGGCAGCGGTGGCCGCGGGTGGGCGGGGCCCGCTCACCACCCGCCCGCCCCCAGGACGACGAGTTCACACACCTGTACACCTGATCGTGCGGCCGGACAACACGTATGAGGTGAAGATTGACAACAGCCAGGTGGAGTCGGGCTCCCTGGAGGATGACTGGGACTTCCTACCCCCCAAGAAGATAAAGGACCCAGATGCCTCGAAGCCCGAAGACTGGGACGAGCGGGCCAAGATCGACGACCCCACGGACTCCAAGCCCGAGGTGGCTGCTGGGGCCCAGGGCAGATAGCGTGTGGCGGGTGGGGGATGTGTGTGGCGGGCAGGCACGGGGCGTGTGCTCAGCTGGCCTCACGCACGGGTCTCGACCCCCCAGGACTGGGACAAGCCCGAGCACATCCCCGACCCGGACGCGAAGAAGCCCGAAGACTGGGACGAAGAAATGGACGGAGAGTGGGAGCCGCCGGTGATTCAGAACCCCGAGTACAAGGTGTGCCGCGGGGTCTTGGGCAGGTGGGGGCTCTCCGTGGGGCGCGCGCCCACTTCCACTCACCCCTCTGTGTATCCTCCCCACCCTCCAACACACACACACAGGGTGAGTGGAAGCCGCGGCAGATCGACAACCCCGATTACAAAGGCACCTGGATCCACCCCGAAATCGACAACCCCGAGTACTCGCCCGACGCTAACATCTATGCCTACGACAGCTTTGCCGTGCTGGGCTTGGACCTCTGGCAGGTGAGATGGCGGGGTGGCCCTCGGGGCTCCAGGGCACCCAGGAGGAGAGGGACCCGTAGACCCGACCTCTTTCCTGAAGCTCCGGTCCTGGTCTGTGGCTGCGGGGCCCTTGCAGAAGCCCCCCTCCCCCCGGAAGGCCTGCTCCCTGTGCTCCCCCCAAGTCCACTAGGTTGACCTAGAAGGTCATTGTCATCCGCTCACCTGCTAGAAAGTTGAGCTGGGGCAGGACGGGTGGGGCGGGAGTGGGAGCAGTCCTGGGTGCTCGACTTCCCATCCAGCTTCCTGCAAGTGCACCTGGGAGGCAGAAGATGATGACCCAAGTGCTTGGGTCCCTGCCACGCACATGGGAGACCTGGGATGGGTTCCAGGCCCCTGGCTGCGGGGCGTGGGGGGGCACCCACAGATGAGGATGGATTCCTCTCTCCCCTTTTCCTCTCTTGCTGTGCTTTTTAAATAAATGAGTATGTAAGGGAGGGAAAAAAAGACGTAGCTGGGACCGAATGTAGGTACTGTAGTCAGTCCCTGAGCCGCTGGTGAGCAAGGGAGTGAGTGCCCATCTCCCCCATGAAGCAGCTGAGGTGTTTGTAGGGAGGCGATGGCGAGTCACTCAGGGTCGCGCAGACAGGTCCCGGTGGGGCAGTGGCTGGGACCCCAGCTCCCCCCCCGCCGCCAGGTGCCAGCAGCTCGCCCTGTGATGGATTCCGGCCGGGTGGGCGGGCGGTGCCCGCTCTGACCGCCTGTCCCCTGCGTTCCATTCGTTGCGCAGGTCAAGTCGGGCACCATCTTCGACAACTTCCTCATCACCAACGATGAGGCGTACGCCGAGGAGTTTGGCAACGAGACGTGGGGCGTCACCAAGGTGGGGACCGGGGCGCGGGCTGGGGGGCGGGGCGGGGTGGGGTGGGGACCGGGCGCTGGCTGACCTCTGCTGTCCGCGTGCCCGGCAGACGGCCGAGAAGCAGATGAAAGACAAGCAGGACGAGGAGCAGCGGCTGAAGGAGGAGGAGGAGGAGAAGAAGCGGAAGGAGGAGGAGGAGGCCGAGGAGGACGAGGAGGACAAGGACGACAAGGAGGACGAGGATGAGGACGAGGAGGACAAGGACGAGGAGGAGGAGGAGGCGGCCGCCGGCCAGGCCAAGGACGAGCTGTAGAGAGGCCTCCAGGGCCGCCCGAGCCCTGAGCGCTCGCGCCGCAGAGCCAAATAATGTCTCTATGAGACTCGAACTTTCTCCCCCACCTCTCCCAGGCAGGTTCAGATTCGGGGTGGGTTATTTTGGTTTTGTCCCCCCTCCCCCCATTTTTTTTTTTTTTTACTGGCGTTTGATCTTTGATTCTCCCCGTAAAGCCCCCTCCCCGTCTCTCTCAATCAGCATCTTCCCCTTCCTCCCTGGGTGCCCTGCTCTTTCCCTCAGATGTGTTAGGCCACCCTCTGTAACCCCCAGGAGTGGGGAGCGGTGTGGAGACGAAGCCCCCCCAGGCTGGAGCCTCCCGGGGAGGGGTGGGGGTGGGGGGAGATGGCAGGAGAAAGAGGGGGACGCCTCCGGCCACCCCCCTCAGCCTGCACTGAGGAGGAAGTAGGCTCCCGCCCCCTTGTCCCCCAGGACCGGGCCACTTGCTGGGTGGGGGCAGTGGGTTCCAGCTCGGCTCACACTGCGAATGTAAGAACTTCAAACAAAATTTCTATTAAATTAAGTTTTGTGTCTCCCTCCCGTGTCTCCTTCTGGGGGGCAATGGGACATGGGCACCAAAGGTGGCCTCTTGGGGCGGGAGGCTTGTTCTTGGAGCCAGTGGAGTTAAGGCTTGAGTCGAGGATCACAGGGGTCCTGGGCTATCCCGCGCCCCCCCCCGCCAACAGGAAAAGGGCTGGGAGCATCCCAGGTACCAACTGGGCGCTCTGCACCAGCCTGACTAGTATATTGGTTGTAGATACTCAGCTCCATGAATGAGGAAACCCAGGTCCAGGTGTTTGAGGGCAGGGATTACACAGCCTTGCCCCCTGGACCCACGGGCTTCGGGGGCCATCTGGGAAGGGGGTGGACCCAAGGTGGAGGGAGCAGATTGAGTGGGTGCCGAGACAGAGAAGGTGGAGGGCTCTGGAGGGTGGGAGGGCGCCCCTCCATGTCCCTTGGGGGCAGTAGGGGGAAGCAGGAAGCCGTCAACAGCCTGGGAGACCTTGCTGGAAGCTTGTAAGGCTGAGGCTTGGCGTGTAGGGAGAAAAGCGGGGTTGGGGGTGGAGGGGTGTCCAGCTTGGGCGGCAGCATTGAGAAAAGCCAGGTATGGGTCAGGTTAGGGAGCTGGGGTGTTAACCACAGCTCCCTACCTCCAGGCACCGCCCCTGGGTCTGAATCCTAACCTCACCTCCATCCAGTCACCACCGCGGCACCATCTTCAGTTTTGGGCACCCTCGAGTCCCTGTCTGTCTTGCACTGGCCTTAAATAAGCCTTGACTTCGGATGGCCCTGCAGGGTTCCGGCCAGGGTGGCCAGCCCATAAGGAAGCTCCTTGGGAGTAGGCAGAAAGTGCAAACAAAAGCTTGACTAGGGCCTGGCTGCAAGATGCCAATCCGGCTTCCCGTTAGGCTGCAGGTGATGGTCCAAGTGGGACACCCGGATTCAGTTCCGGGTTGTTGGCTGGCATTTAGGGAAGAGACCCAGCGGATGGAAGCCTTAATACATGGCGGGAAGAAATTTTTACATTAGAGACATGAATGTTAAATAGTAAGTGAGAAAAAATGTAGTCAAAATCATCCACCAAAACGACAGCGGAGCCATGTTGCGGCCACATGACGTCACCGCTAGCGGGCATGGCGTCACCCAGGAAGCCTGAAGCCGCCTGCAACGCGGGCTTTAGTCTGCGCATGCGTGGCCCCGGTGGCCTCGCGTGCGCATGCCCACCGAAGCCGAAGGGTCGCGCTGGGGTCACGTGCCTCGGTGGTCAGCGCGCGCGCCGCCTGCCCCGGAAGCGGTCGGCGCGCGGCGCGGCTGGGCGCTAAGATGGCGGCGGCGTGAGTTGCATGTTGTGTGTGAGGATCCGGGGCCGCCGCGTCGCTCGGGCCCCGCCATGGCCGTCACCATCACGTTGAAGACGCTGCAGCAGCAGACCTTCAAGATCCGCATGGAACCTGAGGAGACGGTGCGGGCCGGGCTCGAGCCTGGGGTGGGGGAGTGGGGGGGGAGCGGGTGCGACGGGTGCCGGGGGTGGAGTGGGGGCGGGGAGACCGGGCTTCCAACCGGAGGGGTGGGTGGGGAGAGGACGGCGCGGGGCCGGGCGGGGGCCCGCTGCCCCAGCATCCCCGATCAGCGGCGCTGCAGGGCGAGGCCGCACCCCCGGGGCGCCCGCCAGGGCCCCGGCTCCGGTGTCAGCGCCCTCGCGGGGCGGGGGACTTGCAGGCTCGGGTTCCCGGGCGGGCCCCGCTCTCCGGAGCTCGGCGTTCCCAGCGTCTCCCGGGGACGTCGGAGGGGCGAATCATTGACAGGACTGAGCCGGGTGATGACGACAGCGATGACGACATTGACAGTACACGACCTCGATGGTGTTCGGTGGTCCGCGTGTGTTGTAGCGGTGCCTTGGCTGACGCTGCCGAGCAGGCTTTGTCCGCTTTCGCACATGGGGGCAGCCCAGGGCTTGGGCCGGGGGTCCCAGCCGCGAAGGGGGCAGAGGACGGCGGATCCCGGTTGGGTCGTGCGTGCATGCTCGGGAGAGCCCCGCGCGGTCTCAGCCACGCTGCTCTGAGCTGAGAGGGAGACATGAGGACCTAATGGAAACTGGGCGCTTCTGTCCACTTTCTGGCGCAAAATAAAGAGGCTTGGGACCTCCGAGCAGCGGGACTGTCACCCTGTGGGCGGGTTTTTTTTTTTTTTTTTTCAAACAAAATGAAGTCTGTATATGTGTGTATCAGGGAGTTCCGGAGCTCGGCAAGTGGGAGACGCGGGCACGCGCGCTTACACACACACACACACACACACACACGTTTGCCATTAGCCTCAGATGCCCTTAGTAGGGGCTGGCATTAACTTTAAGCTGCTGCCCGCGATATCCGCATCCCATATCCAATCACGGTTCGAGTCCCGGACCCTCCTGACCCAGCTCCCTGCAGATGAGCTCGGGAAGCCGGCGGAAGGGTGGCCCCAAGTGTTTGGGTTCCTGCCACCCCTGGGAGGGCGGGGGAGGGGACACCGGGATCAAGCCTGGCCCAGCCCTGCCCTGGCCTTGTAGCCTATTTGAGGACTGAACCTGCAGATGCAAGATCTGTCTCTCCCTGGCCTTGTGTTTGTCTTTTCAGTAAATAAAGTGAGTACATACATATGTGTTGGTAAACACCGCTGCTGTTGTCCAAAGTGAGCACTGTGGAAATGGGGGACCCCATCTCCCCTTCGCCTTTTTCTCCTCACACGGGGCCTCTTTCCCAGGGCAAGGCCTCGCGTGGCGTTCTGTTCCCTGTCTGTAGAAAGCTTCCGCAGGTTGGAACTAGCACCTGCCACGGAGGATGTAGATACGGATGAGGGCCCGGATGTTGGAGGGAATTCCAGTCTCACCTGCTCCGACATCGCGGGGGGACTGGGGGCTCCGGAGCCGGTCCTCTCTGCACCCTAGAAGGGAAGAGAGACGCCGAGGGCTTTGCAGTGACCGGCTGTGCCCTCTCCCTCCAGGTCAAGGTGCTGAAAGAGAAAATAGAAGCCGAGAAAGGCCGTGACGCCTTCCCTGTGGCCGGCCAGAAGCTCATCTACGCTGGCAAGATCTTGAGCGACGACGTCCCCATCCGGGACTATCGCATCGACGAGAAGAACTTTGTGGTCGTCATGGTGACCAAGGTGGGTGGGAGCTGGCCAAGGAGAGATTAGCCCGGGAACCCAGGGCAGGGCCCCGGCTGGGTGGCGTGGTTTGGGTCTGATACGGGATGCCCACGCCCGCCCCCTTTCTGTTGGCTGTCACAGGCCAAGGCTGGCCAGGGCTCCTCGGCACCCCCAGAGGCCTCCCCGACTGCCGCCCCAGAGTCCTCCGCGACCTCGCCAGCAGCCCCTGCCTCAGGCATGTCCCACCCCCCACCGGCCACCCGAGAGGACAAAAGCCCATCGGAGGAGTCGGCGCCCACGACATCCCCGGAGTCTGTGTCCGGGTAAGGCAGGGGACAGCCCTGGGCCGTGTCGTCCCAGCACCTTCCTCCAGTCCCCCCCAGCGCCCTCCGGTGGGGGGAGGGCAGGCCGCCAGGAGCCAGGGTCCGATTTCTCTCTCTTGAATTTGCAGCTCTGTTCCTTCTTCAGGTAGCAGCGGGCGAGAGGAAGATGCGGCCTCCACGCTAGGTGGGTGGGTGGTCCCCAGGGCAGAGCCGTCCGCGGGGGTCTAGTCTAGATGCGGGTGGGCCCCAGTGACCCAGGCCCTGGCATTCCCCCCCTGCCCGCCCCGCAGTGACCGGCTCTGAGTACGAGACGATGTTGACGGAGATCATGTCCATGGGCTACGAACGGGAGCGGGTGGTGGCCGCCCTGAGAGCCAGCTACAACAACCCGCACCGAGCCGTGGAGTACCTGCTCACGGTGAGCTGGGGCCGCCCCGCCCGGAGGGCTCCCTGGGCAGCGGGGGGCTGCACGTGGGAACTGACCAGGAGCCCTAACAGGGGATTCCCGGGAGCCCCGAGCCCGAACACGGTTCTGTCCAGGAGAGCCAGGTGTCCGAGCAGCCGGCCACAGAGGCAGGTGAGCGGGCTGGGTGGTGAGCAGGCGAGGGGTGTGCCCCTCCCCGCCAGTGCTCCTGGGAGCCCAGCCTTGGCCTCCGTCCCCAGCAGGAGAGAACCCCCTGGAGTTCCTGCGGGACCAGCCCCAGTTCCAGAACATGCGACAGGTGATCCAGCAGAACCCGGCGCTGCTGCCCGCCCTCCTGCAGCAGCTGGGCCAGGAGAACCCTCAGCTACTGCAGGTGCGTGCGGGGGTCGCTCTGCCTGGACAGCCGTGGAGCCCCAACCCCGGCACCATGTGGGGCTGCCCGCTCCCAGCATCACAGACAGCTGGCGCTCTCCAAACAGCGCCATGTGTCTGCGGCCACCCCGTCCCCCGCCCCCAGCCCCCTGTGCTCAGCCGCCTCTGTTCTGCGCCCATACTGGCTGCCCTCGCTTGTCACCTGTCTCCACCTGAATCCAGCCCCTCATGTCTGTTTGAGCTCCCCACACATTGCTCTCATTTCCGAAGACTGCCTGCCCCCTGCCCCCTGCCCCCAGGTCCTCTGTCTGCAAGGACCAGTGGTCTGTTGTCTACCAGGACACCGCTGGCTCCTTGGCAGAGCGCCTCCAGCTGCCCGGCCACCGCCATGTCCCACCCTGGCTTCCCGAGGGCTGGGCTCCGGCTCTGACCTTGCTCGCCCTGGCTCTGTGTTCTGTTGGCCCCCAGAGCTGCACTTCCCTGCTCCGCAGGGCGGAGGCCCCTCCTGGGCCCCAGGCTCCGCCCAGATAGGGCTCACAGCGCCCTTGGCAAAGGGACCTGGAGTGGACGAGGGATGCCAAGGGCTTGTGGGTCAGCACCCCTTCCCCTCCCCCCACAGCAAATCAGCCGGCATCAGGAGCAGTTCATCCAGATGCTGAACGAGCCCCCCGGGGAGCTGGCTGACATCTCGGACACGGAGGGCGAGGTGGGCGCCATAGGCGAGGAGGCCCCGCAGATGAACTACATCCAGGTGACACCGCAGGAGAAAGAAGCTATAGAGAGGGTGAGAGGCCGGCCCTGCCAGGTGGGCATGCGTGTGGTGGGCAGGGCCCCGCTCGCTGCCCCTCAACCCTGCTCCCTCTGCCCGCAGTTGAAGGCCCTGGGCTTCCCCGAGAGCCTGGTGATCCAGGCCTACTTCGCAGTGCGAGAAGAACGAGAACTTGGCTGCCAACTTCCTTCTAAGTCAGAACTTCGACGATGAGTGACGCCAGGAAGCCAGGCTGCCGCTGCCCCCACCCCCCCAGCCCCGCTCCACAAAAGTTTTATAAAAGAAAAAAATATATATATATTCATGTTTATTTAAGAAGTGGAAAAAAAATCAAAAATCTTTAAAAAAAAAAAAAAAAACCTCCCCTGGCTCCCCCCCACCCGTCCATCCCCCCCCATCTCGGCCGGAGAAGACCCAGGCCAGACAGCTGTCCCCAACCTCTCCAGCCCAGTCTGCTCAGAGGCGCTGGCAGGACCGGGAGGCGACAGATGGGCCCCTCTTGGCCTCTGTCCCAGCTCAGTGCAGCCAGATGGAGAGGCGGCTGCTCGCTTCCCCACCCCCCACCCCCAGCCCTGCCCTCTACCAGAACGAGGGGGGCTGGAGCCCCAAACTTTGATCCTCCATCTGCCCTGCGCCCCCTGCCCCACTCTGGCCTTGGCCTCCAGCCTGGGGGTGGGAACCATCAGCTCTGAAGGCCAAGGCCACCCCCCCAACGTGCCCACTCCCCAGAAAAGAACCACGTCTCATAAAAAGGTTTTGAAGTGAATAAAGTTTTAAAAACCAGCCCTTAGGGTCTCTGCCTGCTGGGGCTTCCCCGCCAGCTTGGCTGGGGGCTGGGGGGGCTACGTGAGCACAGGCGATGTGGGAATGCAGGGAGGGGCCTGGGAGCCCACTCCCCCCCACGAACGGGGTCCCTCCCCAAGGCTCAGGCCTCGAACCCCAGCCTCACAACGCCGACCCCCCCCCCCCCCCCCGCGCGCGCTCTTGGCCGCGCTCCCCCCTGGTAATTGGCTAATTACTGGAGATGAATGTTGGTCAACAGAGCTCTCTCCTCCACCATCTGCTCCACTCTTGCCGGCTGAGTCGCCCCCCTGCCGGCCCCCCGAAGCCGGTAACCAGCAAGGCCTGGGGTCCCTCTGAGCAGAGCCCCGCGCCGGGCTGGGGTGAGACCAGAGAGAGAGAGCTCTGGGTTTTCAGGGGCTGCCGGGCAGCAGGCTTTATTGGGGGGAGGGGCCGGGATCCGCGGCCTGGGCCGCCGCCGCGGCCAAGGCGGCCACCCGCGCCTCCTTCTTCTGTCTTTGCTTCTCCTCCTTGAGGCGCTTGCGCTGCTGTTTCTCGAGGTCCTGCAGCAGCTCCTGGAAGCGGGCGCTCCTGGGGTCCACGTGGTAGCCCAGGCGCTCCTGGGCCTCGGCCTGCAGCCGCGCGCGCCGCTCCTTGTCGGCCTGCGCCTTCTCCCAGCGCTCCCGCTGCTGCCGCCGCCAGTCCTCGATCATCTGGGGCATCCTGGCCATGCGCTCCGCGATGAGCTGCTCCCTGCCGGGCCGGGGGAGAGGGCGCGCAGGTGAGGGCCAGAGACCGCCGCCCGCGGGCAGAGCAGTGGAGGGACGAGTGAGGGCACAGGCAGGGAAAGGGAGACAGAAACTTGTCCGTGGACTTGGGGCTGCTTGGGAGTCAAGCCGACATGGCCTACGATCACCCGCAGCCCGCGGCCACTGCCCTGGGTAACCGCACACCTCCACGCGGGACCACAGCTACAGTTCCAGACTGGGTGTGTGTGTGTGTGTCCCAAGTCCTGTAACTGTGTAGGTGCCAGTCAGCACGGCGACCCCTGGACACAGGACTCCACCTCCTAGCCACTCCTCGAGCGGACAAAGGTTCAACACCAGGGACACAGCTGGGAAAACGGGCGTCGTCCTGACAGCCCTGGGCTTGTCCCCACTCCCCTGCCTTCATGTCACACACCAGCCCAGCCACAATGACATGTCCCCTTAAGGCACCATCCAACCCCAGGGCCTTTGCACCAGCCGCTTCCTCTATTAGACTCTCCTGGCCATCTCCCCAAGGCCTCTTTAAACCTCGCCACCGCAGAGTAGCCCCACTCTTGGCGCTGTCTGATCTTTCCTAACACTCCTCTGTCGCGATCTGAAATCCATCTCCTTCCCTGTTGTGTCCCCAGGCACCCCGAAATAGGGCCTCGCACACAGTACAGGCTCGGTTAAAGACTGGCTCACGGAGGGGTTGTGGGTGGGCGGGTAAAGCCGCCACCTGTGACACCAGCAGCCCATAGGGGCGCGGGTTCGAGTCCCGGCTGCTCCACTTCCGATCCAGCTCCCTGCTCACGGCCTGGGAAAGCAGCAGCAGATGGCCCAGGTCCTTGGGTCCCTGCCCCCACGTGGGAGACCCGGATGGCGCTCCTGGCTTTGGCCTGGCCCAGCCTGGCCATCTGGGGAATGAACCGGCTGATAGAAGCGCTCGCTCTCTCCCTTTCAAATAAATAAGCCACTCTCTTAAAAAAAAAAAAAAAAAAAAAAGACGCGATCACGAAAGACAAAACGAATTCGGTCTACAGCACGCAGAGCGCACGCCCTGCGCGGGGCCTGGAGCGCAGCTCGCCGCCCTGCCCCGCGCCCGCCCGCCCGCCCCACGCACCTCTCCCGCCGGCGCTGCGCCTCGGCCAGCTGCTGCTCACGCAGCGACTCCTGCATGCTCGCCAGGCTCGGGTACCATTCCTTCTCCTCGGCCTCCAGCTCGCGCAGCTGCTCCCGCGACGGCCACAGCGACCCGGGGGCCACCCCGGAGGCGGCGCCATGGCGCGCGAACTGCTTGGCGGCGTGGCGCGGCCCCAGCTGCCAGCGCGGGGTCCGCGGGTCCTCCGGGTCCGGCCACCAGGGCTGCGACGAGCGGCGCGGCGGCGGCGGCGCCCGGTAGCCCCGAGCTCCCGAGGCCAGAGGCGCCGCCAGGCCGAGCAGGCCGCGCACCTGCCGCACGGGCGCCGCCATCTTGGCCGCGCGGGGTCCTCGCGGGCCGGCCGGGGTGGCCGCGGCGCTGCCTGAGCGCGGGGCGCGACGGGGCCCAGGCGGGGCGGAGGGCAATCCTATCCCAATTTTACATATTCAGTTATTTTATAATTTATTCCGTACTTTACCATTCGAACATGTATTGATAGTTATTTTAATCAATTAATAGTCGATTCAATTAGTGATATTTATTTTAATTTTTAATCAATTAAGTTGCAATAAACTTTAATGTATTTGTTTTAATTAATTAAAATTTAATGTATTTTAATTGAATTTTGATGTATTTTAATTTTAATTAAAATTTAATATTAATTTATTTCTATTAATATTTATTTATTTGATTCATGTTTTGGTTGATATTTATTTTTAATTATTTAATTTTAATTTTTTACTTTACCATTTCTTTTATTTATTTTAATTGATTGCTGCTTTTTAAAAATATTTATTGATCTATTTGAAAGGCAGAAGTACAGAGGCAGAGCAGAGCGAGGTCTTCCATCTGCTGGGTCACTCCCCAGATGGCTGCAGTGTCTGGGGGTGGGCCAGGCGGGAGCCAGGAACTCCATCCGGGTCTCCCCATGCCTGGCAGGCGCCCAAGGACTTGGGCCATCCTCCACTGTCTTCCCAGGCCACAGCAGGGAGCTGGCACTCTGACATGGGGTGTGGGCGCCCCAGGCAGCAGCCTAATCCCCTGTGCCTCAACACCCACCCCAGAAAGAGTTTAATCCCACCTGTCTTCCCCTGATTGAGCCTTCTCACCTCACTGGGCTGTTTCTTTATGTTGCTTGGGGGAGAATTGTGTTGTATTTTCTTTTTTTTTTTATAAAATTTTTTTGACAGGCAGAGTGGACAGTGAGAGAGAGAGACAGAGAGAAAGGTCTTCCTTTTTGCCGTTGGTTCACCCTCCAATGGCTGCCACGGTGCAGGGCCCAAGCACTTGGGCCATCTTCCACTGCCTTCCCTGGCCACAGCAGAGAGCTGGCCTGGAAGAGGGGCAACGGGGACAGAATCCGGCGCCCTGACCGGGACTAGAACCCGGTGTGCCGGCGCCGCTAGGTGGAGGATTAACCTAGTGAGCCGCGGCGCCGGCCAATTGTGTTGTATTTTCATGAGAAAGAGAGAGAGAGAGAGAGAGCGAGAGCGAGAGCGAGAGCGAGAGAGAGAGAGAGAGAGAGAGAGATATCTTAAGTCTGCTGGTTCACTCCCCACGTGCCTGCAACAGCCACCCAGGAGCTTCTTCCGGGTCTCCCATGCAGGTGCAGGGGCCCAAGGACTTGGGCCATCTTCCACTGCTTTCCCAGTCCATAGCAGGGAGGTGGATCAGAAGTGGAGCAGCCGGGACTCGAACCGGCGCCAAGTAGGATGCAGGCGGCGGCTTAACCAGCTCCACCACAGCGGCAGCCCACCCCAAAGGTTTTTCAGTGCCCTCATAGATAAGTGTTTACAAGAAAATAGTTGTAATACTTGTGTGGCAGGGGGTCTTTCTTTTAAAAAAAAAAACCCTATTATTAAATATTTACCTATTTATTTATTTGAAAGGCAGAGACAGAGACAGCTCCGAGCCACTTGGTTATGGCCCCCAAATGCCTGCAATATCCCGGGCTGGGCCAGGCTGAAGCCAAGAGCTAGGGACTCCGCGGGGGTCTCCCGCACGGGGCGGGGCGGGGGGCGCCAGGGACCCTAGCACTTGAGCCGGCACCTGCTCCAGGGTGCGCATGCGCAGGGAGCTGGCCGGCAGGCGCCATCCCGGGAGCCGCCGCCAGAGGGCGCGCGCGGCCGCCAGCGGGCGCAGCTCCCCGGGGATGCGGGCGCGGGAAGGGCCGGCCCCGCCGCTTCTCACGGCCCCGGCCGACTCCCGCCTCCTCACCTGGGTGCGAGATGCACGCCGTGGAGGTGCCAGGGCTCGGAGCCCCCCCGGGGCTCTCTTGCACTTTGTGTGTTCCCAAGCGGCTCCAACCTCCACTCCCTGCAGGTGGTTCCCACCGCTCTCAATGGCATCCTGGGTCTCTGCGAAAATGTCACCTCCTCCAGGAGGCCTTCCCTGACCACCCTGGGGTCAAAACCCCCTGCGGGAAGAAGACCCAAGCTCCTGGCATCAGCCTGGCCCAGCCCTGGCCAGTGCAGCCATCTGGGGTGGGTACTAGCAGATGGGAGATTCTCTCTCTCTCTCCCTCTCCCTCTCCCTCTCCCTCTCTCTCTCTTTCTCGTGTGTGTGTGTGTGTGTGTGTGTGTGTGTGTGTGTAGTTCTCACTTTAAATACTTTTTTAAAAGTTTATTTCGAGTGCAAAAAGTGTTTGAAATCCTTGCAAACGAGGGGTCTTTGTAAAGTTTATGGAAAATGGATATTGTAAAAAAATATAAAAAGCTCCCCGGATTTCCCACATTTCTGTGTCAAAGTAGATTTCTCTTTAAAAATTTTTTAGAAGCAGAGAAAGAAAGACAGAGACAGATCCAGTTCACTGGGAGCCAGGAGTTCCATCCAGGTCTCCCACACAGGTGCAGGGGCCCAAGGACTTGGGCCATCTTCTGCTGCTTTCCCAGGTCACAGCAGAGAGCTGGATCGGAAGTGGAGCAGCTGGGACTCGAACCAGCAGCGCCCATGTGGGAAGGCAGCACACATTGCCAGCCCCATGTCTCTGCATTTTCTAGCATTTTCTTTTTTTCTGGTCCCCAGAGCCCACCCAGCCCCTGGTGTGCCCGACCGGGCTGGGAAGGGATGTGGGAACTCAACAAGTTTGTTTGCTTACCCCCCTCCTCCTTCTGTAGTGGGCTGTCCAGGGAGGTGGGGGCGGGGTGGGGACGAGGGATTAAAAGCAGGTGCAGGGGGCTCGGGGACCACTCCCCAGACAGCAGGGTCGGCTGCTCAAGCTCCCTGAGCCCATTCCCAGACAGACAGATGTTCCCTCGCTGGCTGATCGCACTCCTGGGCCTGCTTAGCAGCGCCCGGCTGCCACTGGCTTGGGGCAAACCCAGACCCCAGGTGTCCCCGCCTCTGCCCTGGGCTGTGACCAATCAGACCCAGGCTGTGGTGGGAGAGGTCCCGGCCCCGGAGGTGCCAGCCCCAGCCCTTGGCAGCTGGAAGGTCTTCCTGAGTTTGCAGAAAATCGGAAGGCTGGGGGTGGGCGGGCTGCAGAGGACGCCGGAAGTGACGGCCACCCCCGTGCCTCTGCCCCTCGACCCTCAGGAGGTGACCCAGGAGGTGTGTAAGGCTGTGCCCTTCACGCAGGTGAGTCGGGGCACGGGGTGGGGGCGGGGGGAAGGCCTGGATCTCAGCGTGGGTCCAGCCCCAGACAGATCCAGCTGCAAGGCTCTCGCATGCTTCACCTGTTTCTGAGCCTAACTCTCCGCCCTGGCCCAAGGGGCCCTTGGACGGCCCGTCCAACTCTCCCACCCGTCCCTTCCCGCGGGTGCCCAGCGTGTCTGGTCTCCGTTCAGCCACCAGAGGGTGCCCGAGAGCAGCCAGTCTCCTGGCCCCAGCCCAGGAATCCCGCCCGGATTCCATTCCACCACCAGCCGCCTTGCTTTTCTTCAGACAAACCAATGGCCTGGCTGCCCCAGGGCCTTTGCACAGGCTGGGCCTCTTGCCACCACGTGCTCGTTCTCCAGCCAGACTTCCTGTGCCCCCCCCTTTGCTTGTGTTTTACATTTTATTTATTTGAAAGGCAGACACACACACACACACACACACACAAAGAGAGAGAGCTTCCATCCACTGGTTCACTCCCCAAAGAGCCAGGGTGGTTCCAGACCAAAGCCAGGAGCCAGGAGTTCCATCCGGGTCTCCCACATGGGTGGCCGGGCCCCAAGCCCTTGGACCATCTTCCGCTACCTCTCAGGCACATTTGCAAGAAACTTATTTTAGAAGTGGAGCGGCCGGGACTCCAGCCAGCACTCATATGGGATGCAGGAGGCAGGTTAACTCACTGCACCAGAATCCGAGGCAGGATTTGAACCCAGGACATACGATCCTAACCCCAGCTCCCACCTCTCTCCAGCTGGACGGCCCTAACCTGCGTGTCCCTTCTTCTGCCCCACCCCCACCCCCAGGTGCTGTCCCGGCCCGGCTGCTCCACTGCCCGCGTGCACAACCATATCTGCTTTGGCCGTTGCACCTCGCTCTACGTGCCCGGCTCAGACCCCACCTCGCTCGCCCTCTGCAATGGCTGCGAACCCGCCCGCCAGCGGCGGGCACCCGTGGTGCTGTGGTGTCGAGGGGGCGGCGGCCGAGCTTTCCCGCGGCGAGTGAGGATGTCCACTGTGCTCATCGACAGCTGTCAGTGCAGCCCCAAGGCGTGAAACCGCAACACCTTGGGGTGGTGGTGGGACCTCCAGTGACTGCGCGGGGGAGGGGAGGGATGTCAAGAGACCAAGGGACGCAGGGACAGACAGCCAGGTTCCCAGAGTGCACCCCTCCCCTGCTCCCCTGGACACAGCCCCCAGCCCTGGCCGGCCGGCCGTGGCCGTGGGGTTGAACTGAGAATAGTCTTAGCGCTGCTTACTCAGGGACAGGTGCTCATTTGCATAGCCCTCACAGCAGCCCAATGAGAGAGGGTCTTTCTCTTGCCCCTTTGGTTGGCTCCGCCCCTCACCCATCACAGCTGCCCGGCTCTGGATGGGTAACACAGAGGGCCAGCTGGCTCTTGATTTTGCAAGATGTTCCCTTGGAATCTAGGTTCTGGGTTCTAGAAGCTGCGTTCTAGTTCTTTTTAATGAATCCCTTGAAAGGGAGAGAGAGAGAGAGAGAGAGAGAGAGAGAGAGAGAGAGAGA